ATAATGAAACTATAGATCTATAGTAGATAGTTACTTTGCAAATTCCCAAATACCTGGAAATTTAGCATTACATTTTAAAATCCTTGAGTCATTAAAGATGTCTAGGGCTGGGGATATAGCTCAATGGCACAGCACCTGCCTGGCCAGTGCAAGGTTGTGAGTTTGATTTCTGGTATCAAAAAAAAAGAAGTCTCAAGAGAGACTAGAAAAGATATCAAAATGAATCAAAATGAAAATATAACACATTAGCACTTGTGAGATAATATCTAAACTGGAGCTGAGAAACAAATTTATAGTGTGCAGTGTTCACATTGGAAAAATTAAGGCCCCAAGCCAATTACTTAGGCTTTTATGTTAAGAAATAAAAAGAAAAGCACAGCTTTAACCCAAAGATAGAAGCAGAAGAAAGTAATAATAAGGCAAAGTGCAGAAATAATCACAATCAGAAATCTGAGAATGATAGAGAAAAGCATTGAAAACAGAAGTTGATTGTCTGAAAAGATCAATAAAAGTGATAACCCAAGGGAAAATGAACAGAATATGTGTGACCATCTGTGCTGGTAAGGCTGTGAGGAAACTTGTGCTCATCTGCTGCTGCTGAGGCCAAAACAGGGAGCAACTTGTGGAGGAGGGAATTTCAGTAGCCTGCACGACTAGATGCATGCGGCTGTTGGGCTAGAAAGTTGTCTTCCCGCAGCCACCCCCACCATTGAATCACACAGGTACAAGCTTATTGTTGCTGCCGTTGAGGGCAGTGGAGCCACCCAACATCGGAGCCTGGGGACCACACCTAGGGGACTCCTACTTAGACTGGAATGAGAATGAAGGGAACTGTGCGTATCGATTTGGAGGTGTCTCCAATGTATGGTGAATGCAAAATGCATCTACTCTACTTTTACATGTGGGAAAATTAGGGGATTACACAAATATGCACAGACAACATGGGTATATTTTAAACACTAAACACATAATTAACATACCCTAAAATACTTTAAAGTCTATACCTAACTTACCAGTGATACATAGAAAGAAATAGATATACAGCCAACCTGCATCATTAGCAGATTTCATAATTGGAAATTTTTCAATTTGCTTAAATATACCAGTGATCCACAAACAATACAGGCAACATTCACAAGTATGTCTAGAGAGCAAAAGGATTTTAGTCCCAGCAGAGGTAGGATGGGGCCATGCTGTGCCTTCTTGTCTTCCTGCTCCTTCTGTGAACAAGTGTCCCTGTCGAGGGCATTTTCCCTGTTTTTGTTGGTCACTTGCTTGCTCAAGCACTTCAGCATAGGGCTGAAGTGTGTCTAGTGCTCCCAAGTGTAAGAACATGGCAGGTCACACTTGACTGAGAACTCAGTGTGCAGGAATCAATAGTCTATATTAATACAGAGTCTTTAGGGGATGCACACACAGCGTCAGCTGGGGTGGATGGGTGGAGCCGCGTCACGCAGGTACCGGCCTGAGTCTGTGTGGGAGCCAAGGCTCAGCCTCGCGTCAGCCGCTGTCCACCATGGTGTCCAAGAACACGGCCGCCTCAGATAAGGAGATCCAGCTGAGGAAAGAGAGATATAAATAAGAGATATAAATAAGGAGCATGTCTGCTTTTACCAAGCGAGAACAGTAGCAAGGCTGCTTGGTTACCACGTGTGAGTCCTGAAGATCTAGCACCCGTTTAAAGATAAATTTCAGATTAAAAAAAATCAATTCCTAAAATGGTTAACAAACCGAGACGGGCAGATACAATCAAACACCGACATGGAGAACACACTTCCTTTGCACACATGTAGCCTGTCGTGCTCCTCCCGGAGCCCGTGGCCAGGACAGTCAGAGATCAAAATGAATAGGAGGAAATACTAGCCCCAGTTAATAGCGCTGACAGTTAATGACAATATTGTCCAATAAATCAAACTTGCAATCGTGTGAAGGGTGAGGAATTTTAGTGTGAGGGAAAAGGGACACATTTATAAAATGGGAAGTTATAAGTGTAAGCATTATACAGGAAACAAAAACCCCAAATCATCTTTTAACAAAGCATCACACATGTCCTAGTGCTCCTCTCTGAGGGTGCCTAAAAGCCCTGCACTCCTGTGACAAGGAGCCTCCAAGCCGCCATCTCTTTTATTTTTTGTCTATTAGACAGTGATTTATGAGTTCTTTGAAAGTTATTTTAAATTTAATTTTATTTTATGAGTACACGTTTGCAATTCATATGCTTAAAATCATCCTGGGGCATGGTTGCATGTACATATTACAGCTTGTCTTTTAATCCCGTCCCTCCCATTCCCCTGTCTCCCCCACCCCCTCTCATACTTGATATGATCTGTCTTGGCTCTTGTTACGGCGTATAACGTTTCTGCTGATTGGTGCTATTAGGGTCCTACACACGGCACACCTTTATTCTGCTTATTTCCCCTTCCTCTCCTCCTCACCCTTCTCCTTGTTTCCTTGGACCACTCTCCTATTGGACGAGCTCTGTCCCTTGTCCCCTTCCATCAATCCTTTCTCCTTTCCTTTGTTTGGACTTTGCCTCACTCAGTGAGAGACGGCATGCAGTATTTAAGCTTGTGCATCTGAGTTATTTCGCTCAGCACTGTGTTTTCCAGGTGCATCCATTTCCCTGAAAATGTCTCGAACGTGTCACTCTTTACGTGCAGCTGAGTAGTATCCCATTAAACATGTTGGAGTTTGACCCCTCAGCATCTCCAGGACCCGTGACACCAGGGAGCCCGAGAGCAACTCGGTGTGGATGGCGGCAGCCAGACTAGAGGGAGGGTCTCTGGGCAAACCAGGAACCACACGGGGCAACGAGAGTGCGGCAACTGTGATGGATTCAAAACAAATGGCGCCACTGTGCTGAGCACGACGCACCCCCAGCTCCTGGACTTGGTCTCTCCCTCAATGGCCGCCCTCCTGGTCATGTCTGCGGTCCTTGATAATGCTGCTTTTGTTTTCCTGAATGTTCAAAAAATATTATAAAATTAGCAAAAACAAATCCAGAGACATGAGAGATGAGATAACCAGATGTTAGGGGTCCCTGGGAGGGACAGAGCCGCTGAAAAGCTGGCCAGGAAACAGGCACAGGCGGCTCCTGAGGAGATGGAAGCCGGTGAGTTTGGAGACACAAGGTGACTTCCGGCTAACTCGGAGGGTTTCTTGGTTTTTTCAACGGACTCGAAAGTTCTTTGCAGTGTAATATCATGGTGCCTATAATTTAAAGGATTTCATCACCTGCGAAGCTCTCAGATGTGAAAATAAGCACAGACATTGGTCTTTACTTGACTTGCATGAATAAATTCTGGAAGGATATGTAGAAACTAACAATGGTGCTTACCTATGGTGATTTATTCAGCTTATTTTAGCTTTGGTAAGGAGGCTGAAGAGATTGAGAAAGGATAGAAGGAAATTTTCACAGATATACCTTTATATACATTGAATTTAAATGTAGCGTTTTCAGTAAAATAAACGTCTTTGCTGTTAGAAAACTCCCTCAGTCTTTAATGGAATCAGAAAATAAAATAAATCTTCAGCACACCTGAATGATGTCATTGTGAAAGTAATTAAAATAATATTGTTTTAATCTTGTACTCTGTAGAAAAACATGCATCCTTCATAGCAGTCCACAGAACATTTACAAAAATTAATTCTGCCTCAGACCACATATAAAACCTCCCTGAATTTCAAAAGGCAGAATGCATACAGGCCAAGGACTCTGACCGCAGGGAAATAAAATTAAGCTGTGTTCAAAGACAGATTCATATCCATAAAAGCTTTTATTATTAGAAAGAAGAAATGAAAACAAATGAAAGCAACATTCACTCCAGGAAGTTAATATAAAGAAAACAGGTCAGGAGGAAGGAAGGAATTTTTAAAAAGAAAAGAAAATTGATGGCAAAATAGAATAAAAGCAGATTTGATATAGTCATCTAAGAGCTCATTCTTTGAGAGGGAAAAAAAGCTAATTAAAATGCCAAACATCTGGCAAGCTCTTCAAGAAAAATGAGAGATTACATATACACCAAATAGGGCCTGAGCACATAGCTGGATGGGAGATTAAATTAATAATATGGTCAATCCTCTCATAATAAACACAGTTAACTCCATGGTTACCCATTGGAAAATCTTGCAGAAATGGACTTTTTTAGGGGTAGGAAATTGTAATTTTCCTAAACCTTTTGAAGACTGAGCAAACCATCGACATTTAGAATGGTCGCTGAAAAGCTGAAGAATTATCAAAATAGTCCTCCCTGAAAGGGGGCCACACCTGAGGTTGTGGGGTTCGGCTCCTCCCGGTGTCCAGGGAGCAGGAGGAGACCACAGGGAGCGTCCTGGTTACTTCACAAATCCAGCACGACTCCAGTCCCAAAACCTGAGGAAAATGATACCAAAAAACGTTACAATGAAGACAGGCTATGAAAAGGTGTATTAAAATTCTAAACACATACCAATGATTTCAGACCACATCTGTATTAAAATGACAAGAGTTCATGACTGACTATAATTACCCATAAGGCACAAGGATATTTTAATATAATATAGCCCATGAAGAGACAAAAAGGAAACCCATCGTATCAGCGAAGGTGCCCATAAAACAGCACACAAAATATGTACCTGTACTTCGGTTAAAAAAATTCCTGAGGACACTGGGATCGGAAAGCTAATTCTCTAATATTGTACGCTGTACCGTCCTGGAAGCACTCCCAGATCCCAGCCTACAAAGCACTGTGTAAGAACTCTCTGGACGCTTGTGTGAAATGCAGATGTATAACAGGTGATCAAAATGTATGGTGAACTTTTACATTTTTAAAATCCTTACAATAAAAGACGCACTGCCATGAATCCCCCTCAGAACCCTCCCCCGCACTTGGACCACCCTGATCCCACGCCCTGGCCACTTTCTGCAGCGGCTCTGGAGTCCTCCTTCCTGAGGGTCTTTACAAGGTGTGATAAAAATACAGCTGCGCACCACCCAACAGAAAGGCAGCTCATAGAAACATGACCCGCGTCCTCTTCCACTTCATTCATGGGATCTGCGCCCTGTGGCTTCTGGCTCCTCCCAAAGTCAAAATGACATTGAAAGGGAAATGTTTTGAATCGATTCAGGATCTGACGTCACATGTGCACTCTTTTATGTTGTGTCGCTCACCTTTGTGAAACCACGCCCAAGCTCCCTGCTTCAAAATCCTCGGGTCAGTTTTCTTGCAGCCTGCGAGTGGGCTCTTCGGAGCAGAGGTCCCGCTGTCTTAAGGGGGCCGACTCACTCACCTGCTGCTGCAGCCCATGACTGGGGCAGAGCTGCTCGGCACCTCCCCTCCGGCCCGCAGCCTCCCCCGCTGGGGCATCCCCTCCCAGGCTGGCGAGGAGGAGGCAGAGCATCCTGTGCCCCTGCACTGAAGTTCAGCAGCCGACACCCCTCCCGTCACAGGGAGCCCAGGGTGCGGGGAGGCGCAGGGTGCCAGTGTGGGCCCCTCCACCGAGGTCAAGGTCACGAATGTGGTTCCTACTGTCCAAGCTTCCTACAGTGCTCTAAAACCTCCATTATTAAGGAAGCAAATGGCATGGTGTGGGGGCCACGCCGTGCAACTTCCCATGAGGGAGACCACGGGCTGAACGCAGTCCACGTTCAGGGGACCCAGTGGCCAGGGTGAGGAAGGCGTGCTCTGCTTCCCAACAGGACAAGGCACAGAAGGTAAAACATGTTTTCCAGGTCAGGCCCGGAGAGCAGGGTGGCACTTACAGCCCAGGAAGTAGAGCAGTAGTTTTCAAAGTGTGGTTTGCAGTGCATTGTTGGATCAGGATAACATTTTAGTGGGCCGTAAAACCTTTTTAAAGTGAAGCAGGGAGATAAATCCCTGCAAAAGGGAAAGGAACAGTGGCGGAGGGAAGGGAAGGGAACGCAGACAGAATTAAGACAGGTCAGGCACACAAAAACCTGCTAGTAAAATCAATTTTTAAAAAACAAAACAGTATGGTAGAGTCCATTACAGCATGGATGTAAATATTATCGTGTCAGTGAGTCATGCAGACGGCTACTTTCTTCAGGGAAAGATGTTGCAACAGAAGAGCTTGACAATAATCCTAGGGGGAGACAGAAAGGGGTGAGCAGCCTGAGCAGAAGACGTGGGCACCGTCCCCCAACCCATGTCCTCCACTGGCCTCGGCACTCCCAAGAGCCCCTCACCTCCCCCACCTGGATGGACGGGGTGTTGTGCGGGTGCCCTGGGACGGTCAGCTGAACCCAGGCAGCATCAGCAAAGGCCGCCCGTGCTCCCAGAGAAAGTCTGGGGACTCAGGGATTGGCACACGGGGCTGGCCCTACCTGTCTCATGCGCTCACAGCTGTGATGGCCTGTCCACCTGTGTGGCCATGTGCCAGGCTCCAGCACTGATCTTGGGGCTATTGGAGGCACTGGACAGGGGTGGTCAGCACCTGTGATCATGTGACTTCAGGTAGAGTAGGTGACCCTGCAACGTAGGGGAACCCCATGCCTCCTGAAGAGCAGAAAAGGGGCTCTGCCTAAGGCCCCAGCTTTAACCCTGCCTGCTTGGCACCCTGGCTTTGCTTCAGTCTTAGAATCTCCAACCTACAGTCAGGGCCCAATTATTTAAAACAAACCTTTGTGTCTGCCTGTGGATCCATCTGCTCCTGGGGCTCTACCTCCTTACCTGTCTGCCTGTCTGCTCCCATCTGTCCACATGTCTCTGTCTCAGTACCGACATCCCGTCCGTATCCACATCTGTCTCTTGTCAGTGCGGTTTCTCTGGAGAGTCAGCACAAAGCCTGGGGACCACAGGATCAGCGTCATACCCTGAAGGCCCCATCTTGGAGGGATCCAAGCAGAAAGACTCAGCCCAGCTGGGGTCATCCAGCCAGGAGTGGATTACTTAGGCCTGTGGAGGAGGTCACAGCTCCTAGAGTGAGATGCGCCCAGGGCTGGGAACGCAGGGACAGGGGCCGACCAGGCCAGGGTGATTGCTCACCTCTCACTGAGTGAGCAGCAGGGAGAAGGCACAGTCCTGTCCTGAAGTCAGTGTCTTCTTCCTGTGGTGGCCAGCAGCCTGGCAGACTGTGACTCCTCACAGCGGGACGTGTGTGACCGGGGAGTCAGCATCCGAGCTACTGAAGGCTTTCCAGGAAGGCAGAGCTGAAAGGAGATGCACGGCCCCTGTGCACACACAGACAGAGACAGAGGCGGAGGAAAGAGAGGCTACTTCCAGGCCCAGCCTCCGGGCCCCGCGGGCAGCCGGACACGCTGAGACTCGGTAGCAGTCCATGCTGCGGTCAGGAGTCCGAATTCCCAAGGGGGCAGGATGGAAACTTGGGCAGCGTTCCTGTACGTCCGTCCTAGAGCAGAATTCCCTCTTCCCCAGGGCCCTCCCCACTGTCCTCAAAGGTCATCAGCCGGCCCACGGGACCCCACAGCTCACGGAGGTTGCCAACTTTACTCGAGGTGTCCCCACACCCTGCACCCTAGAAGATGACTTCGCAGCCCCTAGCCTGGGCACCACAGTCCAGCCAAGGTGAGGCCACAGGGAAATGGCTTTGCACCATGCAGACCCAGGGCTTGCGTGACCTCCTCACTGAGGGTCCCAGGTCTGCCTGGAGCCCGGACCCACAGCAAGGTCACATGCATCCTGCGTCGGCTGGACGTCGTAGCAAGGAGTCATCTTGCTAAGCCTGGACCGCCTCATCTCCACTGAGTCGGGTCGAACCCTGGATGAGCAGATTCAGTGCCCAATCGGGACGTGGGGCTGTGTCGCTCCCCTCTGGCCACACTGGGCTGGCAGAGGGGTGTGGGAGAGCCCGGGGCTTTGCACAGCCCTGGACGGAGTTCTCCGTCTCACACCTCTGGGCTGGCAGCACAGCCCCAGTCTGCAAGACGGGGCTCCCTGGAGACCTGCAGCGCCTTGTCCCAATTCCACAAGCAACCGAGCCAGTGCTTGGTGTCTGCAGGCCCCGAGTCGATTCAGGACATCCCTGCCTGGCCCGTGTGTCTCCCATCACTCACACAGCCTCGCTGTTGCCCTCACCTTCCACGCCGTGCGCCTGTTTTGTTCAGATCCCATTCCTTCCTAGCAATAGGAGGCCAACAGAGACCGTGTTGTTCTAGCACAGAGGCCTGCAAAGCAGGTCCTGTTCCACGGGGTCCTGCCCGGTGTGAACACAAGCAGCAGAATCCATAAAACAAACACGAAATAAAATCCAGCTGCCGCAGCTCCCTGAACAAAAATCACAATGCAGGCTCAGAGAGCCCCGCGGGTGACGCACAGGCTTACGACGTGTGACTGAGGTCACAGCGGCCCGCCTGCCAGGGCTGCATTTGTGAGCACAGGGAGATTGGCATCGAATTTCTTTGCAGTTATGTAACTGCTTTGACTTAAAGGATTACTTGTACTCATGTGAGGACCAGCCAGGCACCGTCTCCTTGTGCGCCAGTCCCGTGTCACACGCACATGTGAATTTCATGTGTCTGTGCTAGCCACTGATGCCTGTGAGGTAACAAGAGCCCTATGTCCTGGGTCAACAGTCAAAGGCAGCTTTGCTTCTGGCTTTGGAGTAGTTCACTGGGGTAGCTCTGAGTCGTTGGTACTGTCACGCATCAACCACTTCAGGGACAAGCATGACCCCAGGGAGCAGCAGCCTTCCTTCCTCTCCCTCTGCTAGCTCCTCTCCAGCCTGAAAGAGAAACATATAGTTCTTAAAAAAAATTTCCAAAAGAAACTCTCTTCCCAGAGATTTCAAACAGGATGTTATTATTGTGTGTTCTATTACATTAAAAAGCTTTATTAAAACCACCTTTCGCTGGCTTTTTAAATCAAGAGGCACATAGCAAACTTGGCAAACCCAACAATAGGTCTGTTGCAATGAACATAAATACATGTGCATTTGCAACGGGAAGGAGGCCATTCCACTTCAGAAATCTCACCCTCTTTCTGTACATTCTTCTCTTGGCTTTGTGAAAAAATAAACCTCTAATCAAATGGAGACTTAACACCCAATGCTTGGAACTCATGAAATAAAATCAAGGATGGATTCCCCTTGAACCTGGCCACTTCTGGCTTGCAGTCTAGTGAGTCAGGATCCACATTCACCTTAGCTCCATGCTCATCGTAGGGCTGGTGGAATTAACTTATTTGCAGGTAAAGGCTTCAGGCCATGCAACTGGCCTAGGGCCAGACATCCAGGGCTGCACAGCAGCAGGTGCTCATCCTGCTCTAGAGCTTCACCTGACATCCTCATCCACTTCCAGCACAGAGGCCTGCAAAGCAGGTCCTGTTCCACAGGGTCCTGCCCAGTATGAACACAAGCAGCAGAATCCATAAAACAAATACCAGGGGCTGGGGATTTAGCTCAGTGGCAAAAAGCGCCTGCCTGGCATGCGCAAGGCCGTGAGTTCGGTTCCCGGTACCGGAGAAAAACCAAAAAAA